AAACAATTAAAAAAAGAAAACCAATAAAGAAAAAATATAAAAAGGAAAAAAATAAATATATATTAGATAAACTAGTTAAAAAACGTTAAAAAGGGAAAGGGTAAAAGTTAAAAAAATTTAGCAGAAGAAGAAAAATAAATTGAAAAAGAAAAAAAATTAAATTAACTGCAAGGCTAAAGAATCATGGGGAGAAAGCCATGAGTTCCGTGCTTTGCTTTCTCCTCCTTTGGAATTCCGCTGCTCTCCTTGGTATTGAAACTGCACTCCTTGGTAGGTGAACTTGGTCCTGGCTGGGCTTCTTGTTGATCTTCTGGGGGAGGGGCCTGTTGTAGTGATTCTCAAGTGTCTTTGCCCCGGGCAGAGTTGCACCGCCCTTACCAGGGGCCAGGCTGAGTAATCCACTCGGGTTTGCTTTCAGGAGCTTTTGTTCCCTGAGCGCTTTCCATAGAGTTCCGGAGGGCGGGAATGAAGATGGCGGCCTCCCGGTCTCCGGCCCAGAGGAGCCGAGAGCCCGGGGCCCCACTCCTCAGTGTGCCCTCAGAGAACAGCGCCGATTTACTCCCGTCACCCTGCCTCCGGCCACGCTCCGAGCTGACCGAGCCTGCGATCGGTTCAAGGTAACCCCGAGCTTAGAGCCCACTCCTCGGCTCTGTCTCTGTAGCTGGCTTCCCTGTTCTAATACCTGTAAGCTCTGCGACACTCAGACACCGCCGATCCTTCTGTGACCCTGCGGGACCTGAGGCCACGCTGACCCCGCGTGGGCTTCACCCCGGTTAAGCCTCTGGAGCGATGTCCCTCAGCGGAACAGAGTTTTAAAAGTCCCGATTTTGTGCTCCGTTGCTCTGCCGCTTGCCGGGAGCCGGCCCCTCCCCCCGCGGTCTATCTTCCCGTCGCTTTGGATTTACTTGTCCGCCAGTCCTACCTTTCAGAAAGTGGTTGATTTTGTTTCTAGAGTTGCTGTTCTTCTTCTCTTCGATCTCCCATTAGATTTGTAGGTGTTTGCAATCTTTAGATAAGCTATCTAGCTGATCTCCCGCTACCTGAAGTAGTCTCAGCCTGCTACTTCTCCGCCATCTTGACCCATAATTTCCTTTTCTTATAGATAAATCTTTTATCCAGTTGCTGTTGGAATTTTTCCTATGTTTGGTGTGGGAAATGGATCTAATCTTGTAGCATTATTTTTAATGGCAAATATTGGAAATTATATATAATGTCCAAATATAGGAGATTGAGGGACAAAGTGTGATACACACACACATAGAGATACCTGAGAATCAACCTTGATTTCTTTCCTTTCTTTCTTCTCTCTTCCTCACATTTATCAAGTGCTGTTGGTTCTATCTACAACCATATCCCATTTTATTAGTTTGCCCAAGTCACCTCTTGCTTTGTCTCCCTGCTACCTTTCTTACCCCCTTAAATAATTGTCACAGTTGCTAATTTTTTTTCTTTTTTTAACACATAAGTCAGATCATATCACAGACCTATTTCTAAAACTCCAATGGCTTCCTGTGAAACTAAATATAAAATCTAAACTCTTCCCTATGACCTAGTTATCTAGCTATCTTTTCAGCTTCACTTCTTACCTCTTTCCTTCTTGCTCACAAACTGCCATAAGCTCTTTCCTGCCTCAGAGGTTTTTCACTTTGCCTGGAAATCTCTTTCTCATGGCTCTTGGCGTTCTACCATTTAAGTCTTAAAGTCCTCTCTAAAGAGGGCCCACAATTTAATGTTTTCTCCCCCATCCTTCCTCTAGTCACCCTATACAGTTTCCTGTTTTAATTTCTTTATAGTGTTTGTTAGCATAAGAAAAAAATTTCTTTCCTCCCTTCTCTCCAGCTTTCCTTCCTTCCTTCCCTGTCTCCATTCCTCCTTTTTCTGTTCTCTCTCCTTTGTTTACTTGTGCATCTTATTCTCCAGATTTTAAGTGTAATCAGAGAAGGAGTTTTGTGCTTCTTGTTTACTTTTGTATCCCTACTCCTACAGCCCTTACAGAACATATAAATAGTCTGTGAGTATGAATATCCTTGTTTGTATCTATTTAATGTGTCTTTATTTGTCTGTGATATTGAGTAAGGTGATCAGGTTATTGTTCATAATAAAACAGTGATTAAACACTACATTAAAAGTGTTCAAATGTAGAATATATGAAAAAGAACAGACATTTCCCCCCAAAGAATGGGGAAGGAAAAAGTGAAAACATATGCTTCATGTTGCCATTTTGCTCAACTTTGTTTTTCTTTTTAAGCAGATTGTAGTAGTAAGCAGAATGGTGGGTGGGTAATGTCCTAGAAAGCAACAGGAGGAGCAGGAAAGAGAGAGAATGCTGAACTAAATAAAGTGAAAATAATGGGATAGGTGTAGTTTAGCAAGTTAGATCACCTAAAATTCTTGCCAATACTCAACTCTTGGTTTTCTGGACTAATAAGATGGAAAAGAACTATGAATGAGTTTAAAGCAAGAGGATCACTTTGAAAAACTGTATTTGGTTTTAGAATTCAGCCAGAGGTATATGAACCACAGATGTTCATTACCCCTCCCAGGACCAACTTCATTTTCAGCAGCCTGGGTAGGACAACCATAAATGAACTCAGTAGAACATAGCTACCCTGGTATTTCCTTGCTCAATCTCCATAACTAGCTTTACACATTTTGCTCAGTATTTTAAACTAAAAGAGCTTCTGGTAAAAGTAAATTACAGACTGGAACTTTTCTCCAGAATAAGTAAGTTATCATTCAGTCTGAAAGCTCTGTTCTTTTTTTTTTTTTTTTTTTAAAGATATTATTTAATTATTTGTCAGAGAGAGAGAGGGAGAGAGAGCAAGCACAGGCAGACAGAATGGCAGGCAGAGGCAGAGGGAGAAGCAGGCTCCCTGATGAGCAAGGAGCCCGATGTGGGACTCGATCCCAGGACGCTGGGATCATGACCTGAGCTGAAGGCAGCTGCTTAACCAACTGAGCCACCCAGGCGTCCCTGAAAGCCCTGTTCTTAATAGTTTGGCCTCTTTGTCTATTTCCCATCTTCCCGTTAGGCTTGTCCATCCTTAGAGACTCAGCCCAAATTCTGTGAAGATCTGTCCAAGTTTGAATCCAGATGAGTTTTTCTTACTGAAACTTCTGTGCCTCCTATTGTATTGCTTAGTTATTATTCCATGAACATGTGTCTTGCCTCTTTAATTGGACTATAAACTCTCTAGAGGTTATGTAACATGTATATATGACTTATTTTTTTGGATTGTAAAGCATTCCTGGCCCGGCTGTGGGCTAATGGAATAAAAATGAATAAAGAATTTTTTTTGGGGGGCCCTCCCTATTCACATATACCCACTCAAAGTGGAGAACCTACCTCAGCCCTCCAGAATGAGTCTGGTCTTTCTACGTATAAATCATTAATGACCTTTTGCTTTTTATTTCTGACATTAATTTAAAAAGTTCTGGGAATATCATTTTTGATTTGCACATGAAATAATGTGCTGTTTTTCAGAATGAAAACATATTCTGAGAGTCATTTTTGTTATGAATAATTGAGAACATGTGTGGATATTCTATTTCTGGGTAAAATAGCACAAAATAAGATTTTAGTAATGCATGTGTGATACATAGTTAAAAACAAAAAATATCTTCTTGAATGTTTGCCTTTGTAGTAAATTCAGTCACTCAAATTGTTTTCTCTCAAGGCCCAAAAATGCTAAGGCATTGCCAGCTTTGAGTTTTTCCTGCAAAAGAAAAGAGAGGTTTTAAAGTATTACTTAATGGTTATTTCAAAATACTTTACTGAATGTCTTTATCAGGTTTTTAAAAGATGAATTTCCCAATGTGAGAGAAAAATATTAGCAGGTTAAACAGTGAATATTTTTTTTAAAGATTTTTATTTATTTATTTTACAGAGATCACAAGTAGGCAGAGAGGCAGGCAGAGAGAGAGAGGGGGAAGCAGGATCCCTGCTGAGCAGAGAGCCCAATGTGGGGCTCAATCCCAGGACCCTGGGATCATGACCTGAGCTGAAGGCAGAGGGTTTAATCCACTGAGCCATCCAGGCACCTCTGAACAACAAATCTCTTGACCCCTGTTCTGCCTCACTATTTAAATTCTAAGTTTGAGACTTGGTCATGGGAAGAAAGGACAATTAGAAGGGGGAAAGCCCCCTTAGGGAAAAATGCCCTTCTTTAGAAACCTCTGTAGGACCCTCTAATGGGTTTCAAGGACTATTTAGAGACAAATACAGTTGACCCTTGAACAACACGGGTTTGAACTGCGTAGGTCCACTTACATGTGGATATTTTCAATAAGTATATTGGAAAATTCTTCAGAGATTTGTGACAATTTGAAAAAAAAAACCTCACAAACTGTGTAGCCTAGAATTACTGAAAAAATTGTAAAAAGTTAGGTTTGAAAGAATACAGTATATGATGCAAATAAGATACAAAATATGAGTTAATTATTTATGTTATCAGTAAGGATTTTGGTTGGTCAGTGGCAAACTATTAGTAGTTAAGTTTTTGGGGAGCCAAAAGTTATATGTGGATTTTGATAAAAGGGTCAACACTACTAACTCCGTGTTGTTCAAGGTCAACTTAATAGAGAAAAGGTACAGGTTAGGTCTGTGGGACAGGTGAGCTGGAAATAGTGCCCAGAAGTCATCTAGACATCCTCCAGTTTTTAGACATATGTGTTGTCCCTTCACATGGCCTGAACAAAAGGTATTTTCTTTTGGCACAAGAGAAGTGGTAGATGAAGCACCTCAGAATATGCAAATATGTAAATTTATAGATTTCAGATGAAAAAAGGCCTGCCAAATTTTTCTTCAGCTTCTTTCCAGTTATAGACTAGGTTAACCCTACAGAAAGAACTCCTGTGAGCTGGGGCACCTAGGTGGCTCAGTTGGTTAAGCCTGTGCCTTCACCTCATTGAGCCCCCCTGCTGGGGGGGGTTCTGCAGCTCCCTCTAACTGTCCCCTGCTCATGCGTACATGCTTCCTCCCCCCCCAATAAATAAATAAAATCTTAAAAAAAAATACTGTGAGTTAAGGGGATAACTTCTAGATATACGTCCAGCTTGCAAAGGGCCCCATGTAGCTGAGAGTAGAAGCAAACATGCATGGGGCTGTGTAATATCTGTGGATATTAATGCATCTCTAAATATTTTGATCACTTCAGGGTTCTTACACAGCCTTGGACAGTGAGGGATTTGAGGCAGGGACCTCTTACTCAGGGTTCTTCCCTGAAACACACTTGTGCCATCCCCATCTTAAAAGGAAGATTTAGAAGAGAAAACTGTTTGCTTTTAAAAATAGGTTGGTACCAACTATCATTTGAAGAAGATACATTTTTGCATGTCAGATTTGGTGTTGGGTCCATGTGCTATAATCTAACAGTTAATATTGACTTTGGCAAATCACCCAGCACCTAAATCTTGTTTTCCTCCTCTGCATTTACATGGTGGAATGCATCTTCCTGTCTACCTCCCAGTGCTGCTGTGGTCATCAAATGGGTGACCACAAATTATGTGGCTCAAAATTCAAAGGTTGTAAGATGCTTCTTTTCACTACTGCCATCTAACCAGTATATTTTCTTCCCAGAGTTACCAGTTTCTTGTCTGTTTTCCCAGAGATATCTTATGCATATATAAGCAAATACTTATATTTAGGTATATGGACTTTTTTTCACAAGTGGATAGTGTATTAAACACAAATGGAAGTACACTGTATTCGTTGTTTTGTACCTTGCTTTTTAAACTTAAGATACTTTCAAAATTGATTTTTAATTTTTTTATGGGTATATACATTCCATTGTATGGATATATTATTTATTTAACTATTATCCTGTAGATTGTTTCAGTATTTTATTATAAATAATTTTATAGTAACCTTGTATCGAATGTCATGAATTTATGAGCGTAATGTTTTCATGTAAGAGTTTTTTTTTAAACTTTGACCTTAAAAGTCATAAGCACATAAAATAAAGAACTAGAGGCACAAAATAATAATAATTATCTGGTAAAGGTCAGATCAGGAGACCTAAGGTAATTTGGTTTCAGTTTAATTTTGGTTAAGGGAACGTGGATTCTAGTTTAGAAGGAAGCGAGGAATTATGCAAAAGGATTTTGACTGAGACTTTTTTTTTTTTTAAAAAAGGTTATTTATTTGAAAGATAGAAAGAGGGAGCATGAGCGGAGAGAGGGGAAGTGGAGAGGGAGAGGGAGAAACATACTCCTTGCTGACTAGGGGGCCCGTGAGCAGAGCTCAATCTTAGGACCTCTGAGTCATGACCTGAGCAAAAGACGCTTAACTGACTGAGCCACCCAGGTGCCCTATGACTGAGACTTTTATAAGATTCGTTAAGAGTTTATATATCCCTGTGTCTTCATCTTTGGCCACCCTTGACCTCAGTTGTGATTTGCAGTGAATCCCTTAGGAAGAACTTGTTTTATTGTGGGGTATGGGTGGGATGGGAGGGGGATGACAAAGGAGAGGGGATCTGAGGACATGGATTCTGATTTTAAACTCATTTTGGTTCATAAGCTGAAGGGGCAGAATAGGCAGTGGCAGCATTATAGTACATTTTAGTATCATTTACCCACACTAAAAATCAAATGCCAAAATTAAAAAATCGTTACTTGAGAGTTCTGGTTCTTTGAGTATTTGTTAATCAAGACTTTAATCTCAATATCCAAATAACCAGAATCATTACAATTTTTGAAATTGGTAGATTTGTTACAGAAATGTTAAAGGAAAAACTTAGACATTTTTCTTGTTCATCTAACATACAAGCATAAATACTATGATATGCTTCTCTACAGTTTGTTTTTGGCTCTATGAATTTAGTTGTACTAGGTTGACTTTCAGCTTTTAAAAAAATAATTTAAAAAATTTAATTCCAGTGTAGTTAACATAAAGTTAGTTTCAGGTACAATGTAGTGATTCAGTTGTTCTACTCAGTGCTCTCAAGATAAATATACTCTTAATTCCCATCACCTATTTCACCCATCCCTCCATCTTCCCTCTGGGAACCATCTATTCTCTATAGTTAAGAGTCTGTTTCTTGGTTCGTCTTATTTTTACTCTTTTGTTTGTTTTGTTTCTTAAATTTCACATTTGCGTGAAATCATGTGGTATTTGTCTTTCTCTGACCAACTTATTTCACTTAGTTTTATACTCTGTAGCTGCAGCTGTGTCACTGGAAATGGCAAGATTTCATTCTTTTTTATGGCTGAGTAATATTCCATTGTATATATACACCACATCTTCCTTTGCCCTTTAATAGTTCCACTATTTCTATTAACAATTCTAGGAATATTAAGCATAATGTTTCCCTTGTTCTTTGTTGTCACATTTGAAAGTACTCTGAAACCAAAGAATTGAGTGGAAAAACTCAGGAAGAAAACCATGAAGGAAAAGACGTATACCTTTGTTTCTGCACCAAATTCTTCTATGGATTCTATCAATTTCCCAGGTTCCAGCTCCCCTAGTGGAAAGGGGTAATCAGTTCCCAAAATGACTTTATCCTGAAAAAAATTTTTTAACTGTAACTTGACAGAGGATCAAAGAACCTTCCCTAAATATAATTATATTTACTTATTACAAGCATTCCTATGATAAGATAACAAATCCTTTCAGTTAAGAGAAACAAACTGATCTAAAATGTTTCATTTAATGGATTCAAAGCATATTTTGACATTTTCTCCAGCAGGTGTCGCTATTGGGTTTCTTAAAGTTGCGAATCAACCTGCCCCCATCCTCCCTCTTTTGAGTAACTGAAATATGTAAGAAGTAAGCATTTATTTAATAAAACATGTTGATATCTGCAGATGAAATTAAGGATTCTATATTTCTTAGAATGACAGACTGCAATTGATCCCATAATTTTTTTTCGGTTTTATTTATTTATTTGATGGTGGGGGGGGAGAGGACTCAGCCGTGGGGAAGGGCAGAGGGAGAGGGAGAAGTGGACTCCCTGCTGAGCAGAGAGCCCAGTGTGGCTCTACACTCAATGTGGGGCTCAAACTGAGACCAAGAGTTGCACACTCCATAGACTGAGCCGACCAGGTGCCCCTGATCATGCCGCAGTCGAAAAGGGAAAAAAAAACAACTGGTTGAAAAGTAAAGACAAACAAAAACCAATCCCCAAAGAATTCTAATCTCTACAAACTGAATAGTTGTCTTTTTTTTTTTTTTTTTTTTTTTTTGGAATGATGTCACTTTGAATCTCCGTTTGACACTTTGTACAACAAACCAGTACAGGCTTGTCCATCAACAAATATATAAAGCAGTATGTCAATCAGTGTGTTAGAATCTAATTATCCTGGTCAACCAAACAGAAATGGTCCCTGTCCTCAGAGAACTCATAATGTAGGAAGTAAGAGAGATATTAAATCAGTAATGGCAATCTATCAAAATAAAATAAAAACATTTTTTAAAACATATTTTATTTATTTGACACAGAGAGAGAGAGAGATCACAAGTAGGCAGAGAGGCAGGCAGAGGGAGAGGGGGAAGCAGGCTCCCTGCTGAGCAGAGAGCCCAATGCGGGGCTCAATCCCAAGACCCCGAGATCATGACCTGAGCTGAAGGCAGATGCTTCACCCACTGAGACAGCCAGGTGCCCCAATAAAAACATTTTCAACCAGAAATTTTACTTCTAGAAAAATGTTCCACTACTACACATATAATAGAAATATACACAAGGAAATTAATTGCAACAGTATTTGTAGCAGCAAAAGACTAGCAAACTAAACCATAGCATATCTAAACAAGAGGAATGAGGAATACTTACATATGTTGGAATGGAATAATCACTAAGTTATATTGTAAAGAGGAATAATGTTGAGGTTTTATTGTAAAGAGAAAAAGTCTACGACAGTGTATCTGCTATGCTTGTATTTCTGTTTTTAACAAGGGACCTATAGACAAAGAGATATACTTTTGTATGTATACAGTCTATTTCAGGAATGGTACTCATGAAACAAATAACATTAGTTGCCTCTGAAAAGAAGATTAGGATTTGGAGATGGAGGAGATCCCTGCCTCCCTTTAAGAAATGTAATTCATGGGGCGCCTGGGTGGCTCAGTTGGTTGGGTGTCTGCCTTTGGCTCAGTTGGTGATCCCAGGGTCCTGGGATTGAGCCCCACATCGGGGTCCCTGCTCAGCAGGTAGAGTCTGCTTCTCCCTCTCTCTCTCTGCCCCTCCCCTGCTCTCTCTTTCTCTCTCTGTCAAATAAATAAATAAAATCTTAAAAAAAAATTCACGTAACTTAAAATTTAGCCTTTAGAATGTATAATTCAGTGCGTTTTAGTGTATTTATGAATTTGTGTAATCAGTCCCACCATCTTATTCCAGAACATTGTTCTCACACCAAAGTTGATCCCATACCCATTAGCAGGCACTCCCCATTCCTTCCTTCCTCCCTTGCTAGTGTAAACTAATTTATCCTCTGTGTCTATGGAATTGCCTTTTCCGAAAATTTCATGTAACTGCAAGTAGGTAATATGTTGCATCTCTTGTTTAATGTACTATATTCAAGGCTCATCCATGTTGTAGTCTAGATCAGTACTTCCTTCCTTTTTAGATGGAATAATATTCCAATGTATAGATGTACCATATTTTGCTTATCCCTTAGCAGGTGATGGACACTTGGGTTGTTTCTACTTTCTGGCTTTTATGATAATGTTGCTCTGAACATCTTTTAAAATTAACATATAGTATATTATTAGTTTCAGAGGTAGACTTCAAGGATTCATCAGTTGTATATAACACCGAGTGTTATATATATATAAAAAAAATATATGTGTGTATATATATATATATATATATATATATATATATATATATATATAATTACATCACGTGCGCTCCTTAATGTCTGTCACCCACTTACCCCATTCCCCCACCCACCTCTCCTCTAGCAACCCTCAGTTTGTTTCCTATAGGTAAGAGTCTCTTACAGTTTGTTTCCCTCTCTGATTTTGGGTTATTTTATTTTTCCCTCTCTTCCCTTATAATCCTCTTTTATTTCTTAAATCCCACATGTGAGTGAAATTATGATAATTGTTTTTCTCTGGTTGACTTATTTCACTTAGCATAATACCCTCTAGTACTCTGAACATTTTTATACAAGTTTTTACCATGAGCATGTTTTCACTTCTCTTGGATATACACTTAGGAGTGGAATTGCTGAGTCATATGGTAAGTCCATATGGTAAGTCCATTCCCACCAGAAATGCATAAGGGTTCCAGTTTCTCCAAATCCTCATCAGTTCTTGTTATTATCCATCTTTTTGATTAAAGCCATCATAGTAGGTATAAAGTAGTATTTCTCTGTGGTTTTGATCTGCACTTTTCTAGTGACTAATTACGTTAAACATCTTTTCATGCATTCGTTGGCCATTTTTGTCTTTGGAGAAATACCTATTCTGATCCTTTGTTTCTATTCAAGTATTTACTTTTTTTTTTTTTTTAAGATTTTATTTATTTATTTGACACAGAGAGACAGTGAGAGAGGGAACACAAGCAGGGGGGAGCTGGAGAGGGAGAAGCAGGCTGAGCAAGGTGTCTGACTCCTGGCTTGATCCCAGGATGCTGGGATCATAACCTGAGCTGAAGGCAGATGCTTAACTACTGAGCCACTAGGCGGCCAAAGCCCCTGTATTTTCTTTTTATAGTTAAATTGTAAGAATTTTAAAATATTTTCTGAATATTAGAGATTTATCAGACATAAATTTATAAATATTTTCTTCTGTGTGGGTTGTCTTTTCACTTTACTAGACATATATTTGAAGTACAAAAGTTTCATTTTGATGAAGTCTAGTTTATCTGATTTTTTCCTTTAGTTGCTTATATTTTTGGCATCACATTTAAGAAATTATTTCCTAAACCAAGGTCACAAAGATTTACAACTATATTTTCTTTGAAGCGTTTGTAGTTTTAGCTCTTCCATTTAGGTCTTTGTTCTATTGGAGTTTATTTTATTAAAGATTTTTATTTATTTATTTGCGAGAGAGACAAAGAAGCACAAGTAGGGGGAACAGCAGAGTCAGAGGTACAAGCAGACTCTCTGCTGAGCAGGGAGCCTGATGCGTAACTTGATCCCAGGGCCCTGAGATCATGACCTGAGCTGAAGGCAGATGTCTGACTGACAAAGCCACCCAGAGGCCCCTATTGGAGTTTATTTTTATGTAGGGTGTAAATAAGGGACACAATTTAAATTTTTTGCATGTGGATATCTGGTTGTGTCAAAACCATTCTTTCCTCATTTAATTGTATTGGCACTTGTATTCAAAATGTCTCTTATGCTAGTACTACACAGTTTTGACTACGGTAGCTGCATAGAATGTTTTGAAATCGGAAGTGTGAATCCTTCAAATTTGTCCCTCTTTTTCACATTGTTTTGGTTTTTCTGGGTCCATTGCTTTTATATATGAATTTTAAGATTGGCTTGTCAATTCCTGCCCCCCCCGAAAGGCACCTGTTTTTGTTTGTTTGTTTTGATAGGGATTACATTGAATCTTTTAAGTCAATTCACCACTTCCATACATCACCTGGTGCTTATCACAAGTGCACTCCTTAATGAACATGGGATGTCTTTTCATTTATTTAGGTCTTCTGTAGTTTTCTTCAACAATGTTTTATAGTTTAGTGTCCAAGTCTGGCATTTCTTCAGTTGGATTTATTCCCAAGTATTTTATTCTTTTTGATACTATTATAAATGGAATTTTCCCCTCAATTTCATGTATGGATTATTCATTGCTAGTTTATTGAAATACAATTATTTTTTAAAAAGATTTATTTATTTATTTGAGAGAGGTAGGGAAAGGGGCAGAGGGAGAGGGAGAGAGAAACTCAAGTAGACTCTGTGCTGAGTGTGGAGCCCATTGCAGGGCCTGATTCCACAACTCTGAGATCAGATCTGAACCAAAACCATGAGTTGAAAGCTTTAACTGTGCCACTCATGTGCCCCTGAAATACAATTAATTTTTATATACTTATCTGTTACCTACAACCTTGCTGAATCTGTTTATTAGCCGTAATAATTTATTTGTGGATTCTTTAGGGTTTTCTATTTATAAGTTCATGTCATCTGAAATAATTTTGCTTCTTCCTTTCTAATCTGGATGCCTTTTATTTATTTTTCTTCCTTAATTGTCCTGGCTAGAATCTCCAGTACAATATTGAATGGAAGTGGTGAGAACAGAACCTTTCAGTTCACCATTAAGTTTGTTAATGTTAGTTGGGGATTTTTCACAGATGCGCTGTATCAGATTGAGGAAGCTCTCCTACTAGTTGCTGAGTGTTTTTTATCATGAAGGCTGTTGGATCTTGTTGAGTACTTTTTCTGCACCTATTGAGATGACTGTGTTGTTTTTGTCCTAGTATGGTATATTATATTAATTTTTGTGTGTGTGTTGAAAAACTTGCATTCCTGGGATAAACCTCAGTAGGTCATGATGTATAATTCTTTTTACATGTTGCTGGATTGAGTTTAGTAAATATCAATAGGGGAGGGCACCT